ATCACCAGTATGAAAATAGCGACCAACATAATCCCAGTGACCAAGATAATCACCAGTATGAAAATAGTGACCACCATAATCCCAGTGACCAAGATGATAACCAGTATGAAAATAGTGACCACCATAATCCCAGTGACCAAGATGATCACCAGTATGAAAATAGTGACCACCATAATCCCAGTGACCAAGATGATAACCAGTATGAAAATAGTGACCGACATAATCAGAGAGGGCAGAGTCAGTATCAATCCATTACTGAGTCCAACGCAGCCACCGCAGCTACTGTGTATGTGATGGCCAGTGGTGATGATCAGACAGGGCAGGGTCTGGTTCAGACCATCACTGAATCCTTGGATGCTAGAAATCTGTCTTATGCCACAGGGGCTACTGCCTCACAGCTAAATCCTGTGTACGATGAACGGAATTCCAATGCTGTTGGTGTCACCACCACCACACATCCTGTAATGACCAGTGACTACGACCACAACTATAAAGATACGTGATGGTCGGTATAATCATGCGGCAATTATGCAAATCTGGATGCAATTTGCATAATTAATGGAGAAATTCTATAAATCAGCTGCATTACATTGTAGGACTATTCAAGCTTGTGACGTAATTGAGAACGAGAGAACACAGGCAGATATTGATTATGTAAATTAAACTTAATTTAGCATAATTGATGAGAAAATGTAATAATTCCATAATGCTAACTGCCTGGAATTTCATACTTGGGGTTGCTGGTGTCTTTTCTAAATTTAAAGCGACCAGTGTTACTGCAGTAACGTACGGACCTCCCACGACGCCCATTTCCGAACTTGATCTTGCTTTCGTCAACGGTAACTTGCTCGCAAAAAATCGTGAACATCCATTTGCAGATTCTCGAATTATCCCGCTAACAACAATAACGACCACCACAAAAGGTCAAAATCAATGACATGGGAACCCCCCACGAGGCCCATATCCGAACTTGACCTTGGTATTTTCAATGGTAACTTGCCAACTAAAAAACATGAACATCCATTTAAAGATTCTCGAGTTATCTTGTACACAAGAAAAAACACAAAAAACAAAGGTCAACTGCAGTGACATAGAAACCCCCACGGGGCCCATCTTTGAACTTGACCTCGGCATTCTCAACGGTAACTTGCCCACTAAAAATCATGAACATCCATTTAAGGATACTCGAGATATCTTGATGACAAGGAAAAAACACCAAAAACCAAGGTCAACTACAGTGACTTAGGAACCCCCCACGAAGCCCATTTTTAGCCTTGACAATGGCCACCCCCAAATCAACCTGCCTGCCAAAAATCGTGAACCTCGGACCATGCCTTCAAACTTTACCGTGCATAATCTACAAAACAGGCCGAAAGCGATTTCATAGCCTTCTCGTCGAAGGCAAAAAGGAACAACGTCGCGAATAGTCATCAATCAAAAGCTGTCACACCCACCAGGGCACAGACCAGGGCCATGGAGACCACAAGTCTTATCTTGGGGATTGTTTAGAAAAAAAAGAGTGCCCTGGTAGACTCTTAATCTACATATAACACCACAGCCCATAGTGACGTGGTCACCTTGTCATTTTGGAAACTCATGTTTAGTAAAGTTTGGGTAGAAATCTTTACTGCCCAACGACAAGAAACACGTCCCTTAAGTTGCTACTATTTTTGGCGTTGCAACTGACCTGTGATAATTGAGATATGCAAATTTTGAAACGACCCGAACCACTGTTTATTACATGTGTGTTCCAAGCAGGAATAGGCGCACATTTCTACACACGGAAGAATTTTGCAATACTCCGAATGAAACCGGAATGTATGACTTGACAACTTGCTCATTGCATATTTCCTTAGACGTGCTAAGGCCACACCGACTTAATTTTATGGATGACATCTACGCGCGCATTGATTTTCGTCTGATCTCAACAAAAAAAAATAGATCACGTCCTCCGACGCTCTGGTCTGGCTCTAGACCTGGGTAGTCCGTAGCAGTTAGAGACAATACGGAGCCGGGCACCCACGATACCGAAGCACCACGACTCAAGAACAGTACATACGTACAGTGCCGATTCATAAATTCCGCAAAACGCCAGCATGTATGGGCTTGTCGCATACGTGTACGTTGCTGTGTACTGCCACAAATTCACAGCACAAGCTTTGTATTCCTGTTGTTTAGTAGCATCTTTTATTTTTGGCCGGATTTTTCTTTTAATTCGCCCGAGCGCATTAGTTTGGGGGTCTTCAGAGGATGTCATCCATAAAATTAAGGCGGTGTGGCCTAAGTCACAACATCCCCTCAAAATGTATATAAAGCTGAAACATGGTAGCATGATGTCATTTTGTGTAACACGGCATCAAAGCTATAGAATAATTATCTTATTATATAAGAATAACTATAGACAAGTTCTATGAGTTTGGCTCTAGATGACAGTAAGATGTATGGCCGATATAACTACCCTTCGCCGTGGCACATCCGATTCGGTTTCACAGGCACGCGGCCTGGCGACAGCTGGTTTTATTACACCTAAGCTTTCCCACCTCATCATTGTTCCTAGGTCGTCATAATTTGTACTTAACATACTAAATCATATTACCTATATAATATAAGGGACTGATGTAATTAAATTTGTAAATTTGAATGTTTCTGTGATGTATTAATGTACGATAAAATCATAATGCTTATTTTTTCTAAAAATTAACAAGTATAAGGTAAATATAAAGATAAGTCTAATGTACTCCTTGGACATAAACAGACATTGGAGCACTGCATTCTTCATATATAAGATACGGTAATACATAAGATAAACATGATCAATACAGATCTTACACAGTCATAATGTCATCACCAGATACATACCTTAACTATTACTTAAACTCATACTGAGTACAAGAATCTTAAACTAATGTTAATCCTCTGATGAGACCAAACCGATGGAATCAGTTACCTTTTCTTGATGCCACTTTAACAGGTTAAAAGTGATGTGTTCGTATAACAACAAACAGATGTTGGAAAGATCAGACCACATCATCAGGGACTAAACTTAACTACCACCAAATATTAACTTGTATAGATAAATGATTATAATGATATATTCTGAATGCGATGCATGTTCCTGTGAAACATTTGAACCTCTTCTGCACAAGATCTGTTGTGTTGGTGTGACATACAATCCATAGATGGTTAAAAAAATGAATTCACTTCATCAGGGACATACATTCTGGTTAATTGTTAATGTCACCAAGTATACGAATATGCAGATGCTTCATTACTATCTGATGGGGTAATTAGCAGTTCAACCAATGAGAGAGGATAATCAGCAAGTCAACCAATGAGAGAAGGTAATCAGCAGTTCAATTAATGAGAGAGCGTAATTAGCAGTTTAACCAATGGGAGAGAGTAATCAGCAGTACAACCAATGAGAGAATCTAATCAGCAGTTCGGCCAATGCGAGAAGATAATCAGCAGTTCTACCAATGCTAGAGGGTAATTGGTAGTTTAACCAATGAGAGAGGATAATCAGCAGGTCAACCAATGAGAAAGGATAATTAGCAGTTCAACCAATGAGAGAAGGTAATCAGCAGTTCAACCAATGAGATAGGATAATAAGCAGGTCAACCACTGAGGGAGGGTAATCAGCAGTTCAACCAATGCGAGAGGATAATCAGCAGTTCAACCAATGAGAGAGGAAAACTAGCAGTTCAACCAATGGGAGAGGATAATTAGTAGTTCAACCAATGAAAGAGTAGCTGCATGTGCAAATAGTTGTTTCATTTTGCATTTCTGTGTTTTGACGAAAGTGGGCGGGGCTCAGGCATATAGGGGGGAAATGTTGTGTTTCCTGTTTACTGAATGACCCTAGAAAAAACTGTTGACCCTAGCCATTTTGTGTGTGTAGACTCCTGCAACGGACATAAATTTACGAGCTGATCGACCTTTTCTGGCTCCATGATCTGGCACCCGAGTGATGAAACATTGTACAGTCACTTCTCCGACATTTAAATTGAAACTAGTACATGTAATTGCCCTCATGCAAGTTTTACTTCGTTAAACCTATTGTATAAATTGTATCGCTAATGAATTGCGAAAGTCTAATAAAAAGACAATCCCTATCTACCGACCCTAATCTTTCAGAACTGAAACAGGGAACACAACATTTTTCCTATGCCTCTTCATGTTCTGCGTTTAACCCCCCAACAGGCCAGACCGCCAGGCTCAGGGTTATCGCTTAGCCAATTCTTGAATCCGCTGACCCCGGTTCTCAGCTGAAGAGAGTAATCCAGGGACAACACTCCGTCCTTGAACGGCTGGCCTGCCTGGACATTCCGGAACCACGTCATCGTGTCGGGCGTGTCTTGGGGGGTGTCCGGGGGCTTGGGTGCCGCCTTGGGTGCCGGGATGGAGGAGGTGGAGTGGCACGATGCGCAGCACGAGATGAAGCTGTCCACAATGCCGTTGGTTCGGTCCAGATAGCCAAGGTAGGGGCGGCCCTCTGAAAAATTGTTTGTTTTATTTCTTTAACCAGGACAATACATATTCCTGGGGGGAAAACCCCAATCAAAAGCCAGAAATCAAATAAAAAAGGAGGTTGAAATTGAAATAAAACATGTCCCTACTGTAGCATCTGAAGTTTGAGAACAATACAAAAGTCAATTTATTCATTGTCACGAGTTGGTAAGAGTTTTTTTCATAATAATTTTTTTTCACCTTACAGTCCAATGGTCGTACTTGGGGTCGTATTAAAGTCACCTGAGTAAGCGCCGAATGGCTCCAGACCCTTGCGATTAATATATTGAAGCCACAATATATTGTAAGCTCCTCACAAATCAGCCCTTGGCTGCAAAGAGAGAGTAGCCGGCCCACCCAATAGGAACACATGCATTGCGGTGTAGCGATATATTTCTCGAGAATAAAATTGACGCACTTGGGAGGAGTTTGAGTTCTTTCACTCTTGGGCTGGTCCAACTCTCTTCAGGCCTTTTGCCAAAGCCGTGGTACATTTCCGGGGTGAGGTCGGGATCGTTCCCCCACTGCAGGGACACGGGCACCAGCCGCCGCCATTCGGCCTCACCGGGATGGGCGGCGGTGTCGTAGGGCTGGTCCTTGTTATACATGAAAGATCCGAACAGCCAACCTATTAAAAAAAAACAACGCTCCGTCATAAATCACACGCTTACTGTTTAATTATATTTACCCTCGCAGAAGAAAAAGATATTATTTTTGCTCTGTTTCTTCTTCTTCTCCAAACAAATAAGGTGAATGACCTGAACCAGACGTCTGTCACCATGGTAACTAGTGCTGGGTTACATCATGTTGCAATTTTATGGCAGGGGGGATTTAGACTCATAGACTACTGTTATATGGATGTGTTCGAGTACACGTAAGACGTGCCAATGTTAGATCTTGGGTACCTGGCCATGGTACTTGTAACACGTACCTATGTTAGATCTTGGGTCCCTGACCATGACGTCTACCTGGATAAGCCGGAGTGGGTAAGGGTTGGGACCCCTGTCGGTGCAGTTCAAGACGTTCGCCAGGAGTGTGCGCGCTTCCTGTTGGGACGCCGTCGGCGGAATGGGGGAAGTCGGCATAGCGATCGCTGCCTCCCATACCTTGGCCCCTTTCAGGGCGGGGATGTCCCTTTCTGTCGCCTCGGTGAACAGGAGTTTGAACGCGACCGTGCCGGGAGGGAAAGTGACGTTCTCAGTGAGTGTTGGCTTCCCCGGATCTTTCCAGAATCGGCCGATAGTGTAGCCCCCGTAAGCGTTGTAGAAGCCCACGGACCAAGTTTGAATCTAAATGAAAGATGGCAATCATTAGGGTGTGCTATAAAAATACACTAAACCAGTGGAGTGTGGTTGGTAATATGTTTCATAAGACGTTTGAAGTTGTAGTGCAAATATTTTTTTCCTATATACGAGTATATGATTCACCAAAAACAGTTACTGAAGGAACTGGATTTGACCATATCCAGTTGCTTGAGAAACTGTTTTATGACTACTCGTACCGACGTAGTATATGATTACATGCATTCATTAGGCTCTCCTAATTAGATGCATTTTGTAAATGCAATACTGTTATGTGGGGCCATTTTGTCTGCCCAATTACACACGGCATATCTGTCATGATGAGTCGTCAGATAAGAGCATGCCTTACCCATCGTTTGTCGGTTGTAGCGAGGTATCCAGGCTCAGCAGGCCTCTCCATGGTCATGCCGTGGATAGGTTCCCGCCCAAAATACCGGGTGGCCAGCCACGGCGCGCTGTACCAGGGGCGAACCTTGTTGTTCTGCACGCGGAAGTCGCACTCGGTGTTCCCTTCGAAGCAGTAGTCGATGACAGCCTGCATGTACTTCTCAGGCTCCTGCCTGAAGTCGACCCGCATGAACGGTAGCTCCCTGTAGTCTTCCGGCGGCGTCTTCTTTGGGAAGACTAAGGTTGGCTCGAACAACTCTCCGTGGTAGTTGGACGGCGGATTGTTGAAGGCGCGCCTGAAGGCCTCCTCTCTAGCCCGCTCCTTCCAGTTAGGCATGGCCGACACCTTCCTGCGGTAACCGGCGGCCCCCACCATAGCCGCGCCGGCAATCGCGCCCACTGCCACACGGGACCATGTCATGGACAACATTGTCAGGGTACAGAGAAGTCTGCGTGTGTGCCCTGCGAAGTTGAGTAAGACAATATTTCAATATTGAAATCTCTCTATCTCTCCCTTCTCCCCTCTCTATTTCTCCCTCCTCT